AGGCTTCCACATCTGTCTCTATCAGGTTTATCTCATCACATTTTGTTCATTTCTTCACGGGATCCAGTTGGTTTTGGAGCTTAGAGGTTCATCCTTCATAACATAATCATTATTCTATCTACATCCTCATTCCAGTCTCTGATAAAAGTGTCAAGTTGGACAAGTCTGAGGAATGAAGCCCCATGGCAAGCCTCCAAAAGCATCCCCCACCCCCACCAGGTTGACAGTCATCAAGACTTTCTTAGTTCCTCTTATTAGTTCTACATTTTCCAGAACATCCTTCTTGACAAAGAAAATGGCAATATCATTGCAGTTTAGTAGTTCAGCTTTGTCTATTCCATCTGTGAACAGTATAAAATCTGTTCCCAGCAGCAGGCTGAAATGTTGTCATGTGTAAGTGGCACTCCAAGTCATAAGTGAATACGAGGCATGACCATGAATATTATTGACTGACACTACATTTGTAACTGGAGAGTTTCATTGTATCTTCCACAGCCAGAATGCTCCCAGATATTTTGTGAGCATTCAGTAGACATTTATTGAATAAGTATATGTGTGTTACATTAAGTATGTAGGAAAAAATCCCCAAATGAGATCTGAGTGCCTAGAATCACCAGGTTATAATATATCTACCTCATGGTGGTCCAGTTATCTAATGCTGTGTAACAAAATATTCTCAAACTTAGTGTCTTAAAACAACTACATTTATTTTGCTCTTGAGTCTGCAATTTAGGCAGGGACAACTCATCTGTGCTCCACTTGGCATTAGCTGAGGCAGTTTGAAGCTTCGAAGGCTCCTTCACTTGTGTGGTTAGTGGTTGATGCTGGCTATTGGCTCTGACCTCAGCTGAGGCTGTGGCTGGAATGCCAGCATGTGGCCTTTCCTTGTAGATGCTTGGTTTTCTCACAACTTGGAGGTATCCTGAAAGAACGTCAGAAAGAACCATGTGGTCTTTTACGACCTAGCCTCAGAAGTCACAAAGGCATCATTCCTTCCATGTGTTATTCACTAAAATAAAGTCACTAAGGCCAGTCTGTACCCAAGAAATGGTGGGAAAATGTCAAAGAATATGAAGATGTTTTAAAACCACTGCCCATGGGACTGGCTGAGACATAAATTTGACCATGGTCCTTCAGCAGTGAATGCCAAAGAGGCTGCCTGCTGTGGTAGAGATGGGCCACAGGGTTGCACTGAGCAAGAATAAGGAATGTCTGTCTACAAGTCCCCTTAAAGCTCCTTTGTTTGGGAGTCTTGCATACTCACTCAGTCACCAAACATATGTCTCCATAGCTATATTTAGAAGTCAACTCCTTTGTTTTCTCAATAAAGGGAAGTTGGAATGGAAGTTCACCATGGGTCCAAATTGGTACAATTGAATATTCCTACACCCAGGTCAATGGCGGGGCCTGGGAATGTATTATAATAATACCTAAACAATTATTGGCATTGCAACTGAAAAGATGTCAAGTGCCAGTGAAACCCTCCAAAGAGTCATTGTCTCTGAAAATCTGGTTATTTTTACTTTCTATTTAGCAGATGCTTCAACAGTGTATGGCAGAGACCACTCCAAGACCACTCAACCCTGCTTTCTTTCTCTCCTAGGGACAGCTAGACTATATTTCCCAGCCTCCTCTGCAGTTATGTGAAACCAAGTGAACGAGCTCTGGCTAAAGAAATGAGAACGAAAGTATTGGAGACTACTTCCAAGCCTGGTCCATAAAAACTCTAGTGTGGGCCTCTAGCCTTTCCTCTTTCCCCGTCCACTGACTGGATGGTGTGGACTTCAAGGACCTAGAGGAGAGAAGAGTAATAAGAGAGAAGGGGCCTGAGTTCCTGAGTCACTGCATAGAAAAGAATTGCCTGACCAGCAACATCAGCATAGAATGTTGCTGCATGAGTAGAAATAAACTTGTAGGCTGGGCACAGTGGCTCACACCTGTAATCTTAGCACTTTGGGAGGCCGAGGCGAGTGGATCATGATGTGAGGTCAGGAGTTCAAGACCAGCCTGGCCAACATGGTGAAACCCCATCCATACTAAAAATACAAAATTAGCCAGGTGTGGTGGTGCATACCTGTAATCCCAGTTACTCGGAAGGCTGAGGCAGGAGAATTGCTTGAACCCGGGAGACAGATGTTGCAGTGAGAGGAGATCATGCTTCTGCACTCCAGCCTGGGCTACAGGGCAAGACTCCATCTCAAAAATCAAAAAATAAAATAAACTTGTATTGCATTAAGCCACTTTGGGGTCTGTGTGTTACAGTTATTTGCCGACCCTGCCTGTGAAGTTCCGCTTTCATTCAAGAAATGTTCACTACCCTCCCTCTCTTACCATAGGTGCAATATTTTCCCCACTCTGTTGATGGTGGGCTTGACCAATAGGATGATAGCAAACATGACAGTATATGACATGCTTTGACACTTTAACATTTCTACACTATCTTGCAGGACAACCCTCTTGCTATTCTGCCATCACCAAAGAATCAGCCAGAGGATAAGATACCTGTGGAGCAAACCTAGATCCAATCCAAAGTCTGGAGCCAAGCCCAGCCTGGCCCAGCCCAGCACCATCTGACCTGCACATATAGGAACAAGAATAAATAATTGTTTAAGCTCCTGAGCTTTGGCTGGTTTGTTACATGGCATATTGCAGCAGAAGTTAACCAATGCACTCATCAAATATGAATGTGATATTCCAATGACGTTGCTATTTTAAGTATCCACTTGAGGCCAGGCACAGTGGTTCACACTTGTAATCACAGCTCTTTGGGAGGCCAAGGAGGGCGAATCACTTGAGGTCAGGAGTTTGAGACTAGCCTGGCCAACGGTGAAACCCGCATCTCTACTAAAAGATACAAAAAATTAGCCGGAGATGGTGGCACGTGCCAGTAATACCAGCTACTTGGAGGCTGAGGCACCAAGAATCGCTTGAACCC